TAAAGTCTCATCTAAGTTAGATTGCATAATTTTTGCAGACGACACTAATCTGTTTTATTCTTCTAGCCCAATCAGTGACCTCTTTATAACCGCAAACTTAGAACTTATTAAACTTAACACATGGTTCAGAGCTTAAACAAAACTAAATACATCTTATTTCACCCCAACCAAAAAAAAAGGCTATCCCATCAATTTTACCAACTCTTAGTATAGACAACACAATTATTGAACGAACTCAATCATCTAAATTTCTTGGTGTGCTTCTTGACGAGAAATTATCTTGGAACTCTCACATAAATACCATTAGTACAAAAGTCTCAAAAATCACTGGTCTACTCTATAAAGCAAGAAATTATTTATCGTTCGAAAAATTAAAACTTCTTTATTTTTCCTTTATACACAGCTATCTATCATATGGCAATATAGCATGGGTAAGTACCCATAAAATTAAATTAAGTTCACTCAATAGACGACAGAAACTCGCCTCAAGAATTATTGTTTATAAAAACATACTTACTCACGCAAACCCATTACTAAAACAGACGAATACTTTAAACATATATATACATATATATATATATATATATATATATATATATATATATATATATATATATATATATATATATATATATATATATATATATATATATATATATATATATATATATATATATATATATATATTACTAAACCATTACTAAAACAGATGAATACTTTAAAAATATATATATATATATATATATATATATATATATATATATATATATATATATATATATATATACATATATATATATGTGTATGTGTATTTGGGTATATGTATGTATGTGTATATATATATATATATATATATATAAGTATATGTGTATGTGTATGTGTGTATTTATGTGTATGTGTATGTATGTATGTGTGTATATATATGTGTGTATGCGTATGTGTGTATATGTATGTGTGTATGTATATATGTATATATACATACATATATATATATATATATATATATATATATATATATATATATATATATATATACATATATATATATATATATATTTATATATATATATATATATGTGTATATATAAATATATGTATATATATGTGTATATATATATATATATATATATATATATATATATATATAAATATATATATATATATATATATAAATATATATATATATATACATATATATATATATATATATATATATATATATATATTTATATATATGCATATATAAATATATGTATGTATATATGTGTGTATGTGTGTGTATATATGTGTATATATTTATATGTATATATGTTATGTTTATGTTATGCTCCTTCCTAAAAACACGACTAATTATATTGAAAAATGTAATAGGTAATGAATAAAATATTTATGAGTATCTCATGAAATTGTTTAAAAAAAGGGTTCTCGATGACAAGACTTTACACAGTTTTCTGCGAGTTTCTCTTGACTACATAACTAAAGGTTTAATTTTTCCCTTTTTAAGACTATTTTTGTCTTTTCAAAATATAAACTGAAAAACTATTTTACATTATTTTATTACTTTGTACATCAAATATATCTTAGTATTATTTCAGTTATTTTCAAAGCATTTTGACTGTATTTGTAATAAAAGTATATATTGTTAAAACTATTTGTAATAAAAGTATGTATTGTTAAAGCTATGTAGTTGTAAAAAATATATGAAAAAAAAAAAAAAAGACTGATTTAAGATTTATAGAAATAAAGAATAAAATCCGATGTAAAAAAGTGTCAAGCACGATAAAGAGGTGCAACCTTAGCAGAGGCTAATTTTACAATGGATTTTATATACAGTTTTTGCAAGAAAGATTGGAAGTAAGAGTTAATCCTTGAAGATAAAAGGTAGATACTTATCAAGGACATTACTGTTCATAAATATAGGAAGGGCTAAATTATTGCGATAACAATTGGCTGAAAAAAATTGGGTTTTATCTGAATTAAAGTTCACCAGCCACTGTGAGCCCAATGCTGTAGCAGAAGAAAGATCTTTTTCAGGCTCAAATGCCCCCTCCAAGCAGTCAGAGAGTGTTAGCTTCTTATTATGATATGAATTAATGATAGTATCATCAGCGAACAATGCCACCTTAGATGTGAGAATATCTGAACTCTCGTTAATGTAATTTAAAAAGAGTATCGGGACTAAGATTAAACCTTGAGTGACCCCTGAAGTTACAGGATATTAGGCAGAGAGTTGTCCATCGAGGACAACTTTTATACTACGATTGTAAAGAAAGGACTCAGTAATCTTAAAGATATTACCAGAGGGAGAAAGGCAGCATGCCACACTTTATCAAAAGCTTTAGAAATTTCAGGAGCACTAGCCATTACCTCTCCACCTTTATTTATTATACGATAAAATCTATCGGTTATTATTATTAGCTAATCATTTGTAGAACGAGAAGATTAAAATCCATGTTGATGATCAGAAAGTAAGTTATTAGATTCAAGATTAGAGATTAAGTGTTTGTAAATTAATGGTTCAAAAACCTTGCTTGTGATATAAATAAGACTAATGAGACAATTGTTAAATGAGTCAGATCGCTCTCCAGAATTTTTTAAAATAGGAATAACATTTGTTGCTTTCCATTAAACCGGAAAACAAGACTCCGATAAGCATTTGTTAAACATTTTTAAAAGTATAGATGACAGTTCCGGAGAACACTTCTACAAAACAACAACAGGTATGTTGTCTAAACCACAAGGTGTAAAAGAGTCCAAGCAGGAAATCACTTTAGATAAAGAAGCTGGAGTGATACCAATGTCAAGCAATTGATCAACCTGTTTGACAGTTATATCAGGTAGAACGCAATCAATAGAATCAAGAGATGATATTGGTGAAGATACTTAGCAAACAATTCAGCTTTGTCTTTAAATGAAGTAACAAATTCCGAACCATACAGGAAAGGTAGACTAGCAGATTTGCCCTTATTATTGATACTGTTAAAGATTCTCCAGAAGTTACGAGAGCCTAATTTTTATGATGAATTACGAGATTTCATGACCTGAAAATGGCGTTATACAAAACCTTTTTACAATAGTTTCTATCAATAGTAAACAGACATCTTATTTCTTGAGAACTTTTTTTGCTGATAGATATGGAGGTCACGGTTTTAATTGGAAGTTGCAGCAGCACATTGCAAGAAAAGCCAAAAAGAGAAGTGAGGCTTGACTTGGATACGTCAAGCCTCACTCTTGAGGAAACAAAAAGATTTCACGCCATCGTGAATCCACGAAGTTATGTAAGAAGCACATTTGTCAGCAGGAATACGGAAGATTTCTAACTAAGGGTCATCACAAAGAATATGAGGGAAAGAGTCTTAAGGTAGTTGTAAGAGGTACATTGATAGGGAGATTCAGATGATGAAGAAGAATGAGATAATAGTTTTAGAGAGATCAAATCGTGACCAGAACCATCTAAGGGTGAATGTGGAGAAACTGAGCACCGAATAGGATCAGAAACAAGACATAATTTGAGTATAGAAGATAAATGATTTGGGTAGTCTGGAATGAGAGTTAGAAAGTTGACTATTCGAGTTAGAGATTGAGAAAGACAAATGATGGTCTTAACTTAGGCAGAGTCAATGACACTAGAGCTAAACCATTCAAGTTGAGCATTTAAGTCACCAACAACAACAATATTGGCTAATGGATAAAGAGAGAGGACTTGGTCAATTTGATCAATAATAACACTGAAAAGAGTGCAGTCTTTAGATGCAAGAGAGCGATATGAACAAAGAGAAAGGCAATAGAGTTAAGTGCTAAACGAAAGCACATAAATAGTCTGCGGATTCAAACCTAGTTTTCCAACAAGTGGGTGAAATTTTGAGAATGCGAATGCCCAGGCCAACCATGTGACTATTAGTCTCACATAAAGCAAGTAGGTTTGGTGAATTTTGCAAGAGATATGACTCAACAGAAGAAAATTTACTTCAAAGACCACAAATATTAGTAAATTATAAGTTCAGAGAACTTGGTGATGACAATGGTTTTTTGATTTTAAACTTGTTAAAGAACTTGACTCAAAGCATAGATAATACTCAAAACACTATTCAATAATCCAAGCAATTGCCTTATTACTATTTTTAAATCCTTAGCGTAACAAAGGGCTCCAAATGTGGCCTCGACAATGCACACCAAAACTACGAACAGGCACAACATCCATCCGCTACATGACACTGTTAGTACTCTGATATTTTACAGCAGTTGATGGAATCATCTTCTTTAAGAGTTACCACAGAGTTTGGGAATCCTGACTCAGAACCGTAAAAACTGAGTTTTAGAACTGTACCCTCATTAGGAGATAATAGAATGATTTATCATGCATTGAGTCAAGAAGTACCAGCATTCAACATCCTAAACTGGAAACAATGTATAAAAAAATACATCTGCGCCAGCCTAATAGATAAAGAAGGGGTGCGAGACTGGTCAACAAATAGAATCTTCTACAGGCATTCTACAAGACACTAGCCGAATACATTAACATCTGCCTAAGACGATCATTTTTATTGAGACACTATCTCTAGTCTTTACTAAACCAATAGCCTCAAGGCAAGGGGTATGTTTGTGTATACATATATATATATATATATATATATATATATATATATATATATATATATATATATATATATATATATATATATATATATATATATATATATATATATATATATATATATATATAATTAAGATCAAAAAGTAAATCAATGTAAAAAAATAATCAATACTAGAATACTAGAAATAAAATAACTTTTACTAAATCCTAATATGAAAATCATAACAATGAAAATGTCATAACTAACAAATAAAAGTCAACAATAAAAAAAATTATTTTAAAACACTTATAAAATAAATAAAATATATTATTTAGCAACAAATAAAATGTGTAAACTACTGAAGCATTGAAAAAAACATTTAGAATCTTTTCTTCCTAAAACAACTTGCAGACAGACAATCAATACCTTGAGCTACAGTATGCGGAGTATGCATAAAAGTTGTTTTCTTTTTCTTTTTTTGAATTAAAGGATATATATATATATATAATATATATATATATATATATATATATATATATATATATATATATATATATATATGTATATATACATATATATATATACATATATATATATATATATATATATATATATATATATATATATATATATATATATATAAATATATATATATATATATATATATATATATATATATATATATATATATATGTATATATATATATATGTATATATATATATATATATATATATATATATATATATATATATATATATATATATATATATATATATATATATATATATATATATATATATATATATATATATATATATATATATATATATATATATATATATATATATATATATATATATATATATATATATATATATATATATATATATATATATATATATATATATATATATATATATAGGCTTGGTCGAAAAGCGGGTGCGATCGCACTCGATAACTGACCATGGAGGTAATATTTAGTTGCGAAACACCGGTGTTTTTTCAGTCAGTTCTGCGCAAGCGTGACGCATGCGCAAATACGGTGTAAAGCTTCCGTGAGGTAAGTCAAATTTATTGTTAAATAAGTAGCCTTGTTTACGTTAGGTATAAACTTAGAAAACAAAAATAATACTTTTAAATTTTTTAAAACTATATAATTAAATTACCAGTCTATAATTACTCAGTTGAAGATGCTTAGCAGTATGTCGCTGGTGGAATAATAAATTATTATAATAAAAAATGTCAACTTTGTGGTAGGTGTATATAAAAGTTAAACTTTTATATAATTTATGATTAAGAGTTTATGATTATTGTGTATATACACAATAAAAAACCTAAAACAACTGTAGTTTTTGAGATGCTGAGACATAGTACAAAATTAACTTCAGAAACATACAATATTATAAAATACGTATTTTATATCATTGTATGTTTCTTAAGTTAATTTTGTATTATGTCTCAGCATCTCAAAACCTACAGTTGTTTTGGAACTTCCAATTTATGCATTGACTTATTTGTCAATTTTGCCTAAAACTATTAGTTAATTTTGCTGTATATTTAAATGTTGCAATTAAGTATTATTAAAAATATTTATTAAAAACAGTCTAAGATTAAATTAACTGTAAATTTATTATGGATTTGAACCTAATTTTCATAAAGTGACCCTAGGTACAGTCCAAAAAAAGCTTATTGTTCTAGGGAAACTACTTTTTAAACCCTTCTACTTGATGGAATTTTATTAGTATAAGTCAATATACTTATACAAAGTAATAAGTATAGAGATATGATTGTATCAGTTTCGCCATTTTTACACAAAGTTCCCCAAGACTTTGTTGGACCTCTTGCTTTAATAAAACTTGGAAAAAAATGTATTATTAAAATTACTGATTGTTAAAGTAAATATACTGAAAAAATAACAATTTATGTAACTACTTTATTTTATAGATTTTTGATACTCTTTAAAAAATTCTAAAATTTTAGATTATTTGATATAGTCTGCTTATTTTCATCAATCCAATCAACAAGAAAAAGGTTCAGAGTTTAAACTGGTAATAGTATTACCAGTTAACAAAATGCTTTTTTGAAAAGAACTTAAAAACCATGTTATTTTATTTTGCTATTTATATTGTGCAAAGATATTTTGATCTTATTTTTAAAATAAAGTTTTAGTGTAGCATGAAGTGTGCCGTTTCTTTAATGTCGTTTTTATTTAAAACATCACATAGTAAGAAATAGTAAACTAAGTTTAGGTAACATTTTATTATTATTGTGCTATACATACACCGCTAAAATTGTCGAATAATACCTGTCTAGGTTGTTATTCAACGGTAGTACAGTAATGGTATAGTGGTAGAGCGCTCGCCTCATAATTGAGAAGTTCTGAGTTCGATCACCACCACGTCCCTGGTACTACCGCGCTCAACTTGTTTCTCCGTGTAGCAGTTTGGTTCGTCATGGTTTGTGTTTCGGAGTTAAAGAGTTAAAGATTTAACCAGAACTAAAGCAGCCTGCACAACTGGAGTGGCTTTTTCATCGTTGAGAAGGTAAATTAATACACAAAAAAAGACTTGACACGAATTAATAAATTCTCTTCTTTTTTCTGTGATAACATCAGAATACTTTTGTTACTATTTATCTGCGTAGAATCAGGTAGCAATTACAAATTTTACAATTGATAGGCTTAAGGGATAAAGATAAATAATTTAACGTGAAACATTTTGCTAAAATGCACAGTTAAATTGTTTAGGAATCTCTGAATTGTTTAGGAATGACTATTTTATTTGATATCATTAATGACCTAAAAAAAACCTCTTTTTTAAAAATATGTTATTTGTCATACTATACTATTAAGGTATAAAATACGACTAGGATATATGTCGTGAGTTAAATAATATTAAAAGTGGTAAATTATCACTCTAAAAATGCCATAAAATAATAACAATTTGCATGACAAAGTAAATGCGGTTTAGTTCGGTTAACGTATGTTTTTTTTTAATTTATTCGTCTTGGTTAACAAATAATGCCTTGATTGTTCAATTTATCTACTTATTTAACGATCTACTTATTTAACGTGACTTTTTACGTTAAATAAGTATCCGTAAACTAACGCATGCGCAGAATATCATTTTGTCTACTTATCTAACTATCTACTTATTTAACGTGACACCGGCCAGATTTTTTAGTCGTTTTGAGAACATTCAAGTTTTTGCATGTTTCCTTGTTTGTCCGCAAAATAGTAAGTTCATTTTATCGTAAATTTTGTTTTACGGACTTACATGGAAACATACATAAACTTGAATGTTCTCAAACATCTTAGTACGGAAAAATCAAAAAAAAGAATATTCGCGAACACAAAAAACTTGCCAAATCTACGAACAACTAATTCTATTGGTTCAAAAAATACTAACCGAAATTTCTAGAGTATTCAAAAAATACTAACCGAATGTCCTGATTAATATGTTGAAATATTTTAAAAAATTGTATTATTTGAGTTTTGTTACGTTTTTGTTGAGATTTCCAGCATAAATTATTGTAAGAATATACTATCAAACGAACTATTATTTTAATTCTTGGAGCCACATCTACAAAGCTATAAATGTTTTAAACTAACATTATTTGTTTACAATAATAAATGTTTTAAATCAATATTTTTTAAATTGTCAACGTTTTGTAAATATATTATAAATTTTATTAATATATTTTAATTTTTTATATATAAGGGATGTATTTTTTATGTATGTAATGTATTTTTATGTATGTAAAGTATTTTTTTGCATGAAATGTATTTTTATGTATGTATTTTTTATGTATGTAGTTTTATGTATGTTTATTTTATTCAAATGTAATCTTTTAAAGCAATATGTGCCATTGATTTTGTAAACAAAAATACTTTCAATAATAACTGCGTTTTTAATGAAATTATTATTAATCATCAAAGTTAATACAAATGATTTTAACCACTAATCCATTTTCCTCAGTGTACCCGATAACTGATTCTTTCTCCCAAAAAAAAAAGGTTTTTCAGTTCTTAGAAATTGGTTTACTAACTTCAATTATTTTTGCTTCAGCCATTCTTACAAACTCGTTATACTTAGAGTTTCTTTTTTCTGTTTAAAATACTAATTAAAATTATAAAGCCCATTTACTAAAACATCATCAGCGGTATTGTGAACAAGTTCCGCTTCCTCCTCACAAAGTAATTGAACGTTTTATTAAATTTTTACCTAGCTAATTGATATCTACAGTAACTCAATAGATTAATTAATTTATATGATCATTTTACTAAGAAGAATTATTTCAAATATGTTAAACTTTTTAAACTACGCGAAGCATAATACAGTTATTGAAAAAACTTTTTTATAAATAAATCATTTGGTTGAATCTTGTTGGATTTTTCAGGGCAGGAGGCTGCATTATTTTTATCGGCCTTTTTTATGTGCCACAACGTAAAAATGACTAAACAAAAATACCGAATGGTCCTCTTGGCTATTTCCCCTAACATTGTGAGTCCCGGGGTATAGCCCTACTACCCCCACCCCACCTCCTCAATCCAGCACTGAAAATAAGACATAAGTATATAAATAAAAATTATATATACTCTTTGACAAATCGAAGAACATTTGTTTTTTTATAATTGTTACTTTATATAAAAAATGTCGCTTAATTTTATAAAAAAAATTATAAAAGAACAATGTTTCAAAAATAATTGCTCTAATACATTTATTTTGCTTAAGGTTTTTTCGCACATATATATATATATATATATATATATATATATATATATATATATATATATATATATATATATATATATATATATATATATATATATATATATATAATATATATATATATATATATATATAAATATATATATAAATATATATATATATATATATATATATATATATATATATATATATATATATATATATATATATATATATATATATATATATATATATATATATTGAAAATTGAGCTTCCAAACAATATCATAGGCTATAGGTGCAAGCACAAATCCATTTTTATACAACATGCATATAACTTTACAGGAAAAATCTGCTTTATTTATTATACATTTGTCAGACAGATATTTTTTTTTAATATGAACAATATTTAAACTTTTTGAATCACATGGTTGTTGAAAAGCGATAAATCTGCAGTTAAGCAGCTTAAAATAATTTTATTTTTTCGTTTGTTGCGATCTCGCGTGAAGATATGCTTAAAATGGTGACTTTTTAATATAAACAGAGAATATTTATTGGCTTCACTACAAACATCAATTATCTTATAATCTGCTGCTACAGGGAGGTGCTACTACATCAACTGAGGGTTTGGCATGGGGTAGCAATCTTTCATTGATTCAAACAATAACAACAACAACAACAACAACAACAACAAGCTATTTATTTTCCATTTTAAGATCATTTTTACAATAATAAGGTAAATAATAATAACAAAAG